CCTTACTGGAAAAAGGAAGTGAGGGTTAAAAGGTCGTATATGGAGAATGAGGCAAGCTGTAATCCATGAAACCTGTGCAAAAAAGTTCAACATCAAGGAAATGGACGGTTCTATTGTCATAATTGTAATCAGTTTTACGTTTCTTTGACATTATAAGTATCAAAATTTGGTGGATTCATAAGAAAATTTGGTGGATTCATAAGCTTTCTTTGGTAAAAAAGTTTGCAACTGTAATATTGCTTTGGAACCGTTGCCATATTCCCAGCAAACCTTCACAGGAAGAAAGGGAATTGTTAACTAATTGAAAGAAATTGAATGCAAGGGACCTTAATAATACTAATCTGAAGGTGGCAGCGTAGGGGGTGCTAAAGCTAGATTCTGGGGCTCATTTATAACAGACAAGATGTCACACATGAATTTAATTAATGTAGGAGGATTACGATTGGCGAGGGTGGCAAAACGAGAAAGTGTCTGAAAATTGAAATGGATTAAGGAGGTGGAGATGAATAATGGAGAGTCGAATCTACAACAACAACAACAACAGACCCAGTGTAATCCGCTTGGGGAGGGTAGTGTGTAAGCAGCCTTACCCCTATCTTGTGAAGGTAGAGAGGGTGTTTCCGATAGACCTTGGCTCAGGAGAAGCAGAGAGTCGAATCTCTGTTTTCTTTGTTTTTGATAGGGTCAGGTGTCTGTATTTTGGCGTATGGATGCACCGCGCTGGTCTGATTGTAGTTCTTTTTGTATTTAGAATCCAACTAGGTTTTTTATTTTTCTAAATGAAATTTAGTTTGACATTTAAAATATCTCCACTGGAACTTCCTTCTGAATCGCATGTAGGGAAGGGGCTCTTTTTAGTCATCTTTGAATGAAATTCACTTTTATCGAAATTCGAAGTTCAAATTTTGTGGATGGGAAGTAGCTTTCTGTAGTCACAATTTTCTGACTAGCACTCAAAATCTTTGTGCTATCTTCTGCTGAAGTGTGAATGTTTTGTGGAGTATTTGGCTCATTATATGTCGTTTGCAATAGTATGAAGTTGGACTGTTCTCACTGTTTATTTGCTTACAGATTTCTATACTTTAAGGAAGGATGTAGAGACCGCCTTAGAGCGCGTTGAAGAGATTAGAGCTGCTGCTGGTCTGAAGCAACTTCAACATGATCTTGCAGCTTTAGAAGCAGCAGCAGCTGATAGCTCTCTCTGGGATAATCGAGCTAAAGCTCAGGAAACACTTCAAGCTTTAACTGATTGCAAAGACAAATTAAAGCTTCTCCATGACTTCAAGACACAGGTACCTACACTTTTCCCACAAAGAGCGCGCACTGGTTTGAAGTTGTTATTTTTTGTTTTTGGTGAAGTATCTTTTGTACTAGATTAATCTTACACTGGAGTTCCCATTTTATCTTGCGAGGTGCATGCCAACTTTAACTTTGGTTTGTCCTGTCCGTAAATGGTCAATGGTTCAAGGACATTTAACAATCCAGTGGTTACCAATCTTATGATGTACTTGTAGAATATCCTTTCATTTCTTGTTAATACCTCCTTGTTTCTGTCCAAAGTTTGGAAGGTAAACTAAAAATCAAAGAGGAAGGTATAGTGCATACAGTTGTCTACTTTTGCTTCCCTTTGATACCCATTTCAACAATTTGCAAATCTTCGATCTGTTTGTTGCTCTTTTAGAATTTCTCCCGGTCATCTAAAACATCTCAGGTATCTCACCACTTGTTTGGATATACATGCATAATCCAGAGTGTCAATGCGACAGACTATGACAAATTCAGGAATTCACACTTCCACAGGCTGATGATGCAGAAACAATTATTAAGCTCACTGAGGAGATGGATTCTATTGACTCAGGGCTTCTTCAGGAGGCTGCTGGTATCATAAAGGAATTGAACAAGGCACTGGATCGTTATGAGTTGACTCAACTTCTTTCAGGCCCGTATGACAAAGAAGCAGCTGTGGTTACTATCACAGCTGGTGCAGGGGGCACTGATGCACAGGTAATGCTGGATCTGATTTCTAGGGACTACATTTATTGATTGCATATGGACCCCAATGATTAAAATTTCATATTCGTTCACATTTTTCATGAATATCATCATGGGTTTTCACTCGAAGGGGTGAGGCAGTATCCCATATACTTCCTGCTATGTGGCAGGGTTCTTTTTCATTTTAGCTGATACTGATCACGATAATGCAGTAATGGTCATTTATAAAAACCAGAATACAGTCTTAGGTGCCTTGCTGCAATGTAGAAATTCATTCTTTGCTGTGAGCATTAACTGTCGTTGTCCATATAGATTTCAACTCAGTGTGTCTTCTCTGTTTAAAAGACTTCATATATGGTTGAACAGGTGGCTTAAACGTTTTGGAGTTGCATTTTGATCAGAGGGAGATTCTCAAATAAAGCATGATATGACTTATATTATTAATCTTCACTTGTAAAAAAAAAATAGCACGATAAGATATGATGTAAAGTACACATGATTGGTGCTCTATTTTTGCTTTAAGACCTTGTCCTGCTCCTTCTCATTATACGTCACTGGTCCTTATATTTTCTGTTAGTCCTCCTGTTTTATCATAGTTTCACGTCTTTAAAACTTGCGAAATCACTGTGTTACAGTTTTCTTTACTTTTTTTGTGGCTCTTTTACATTAGAATATTTTTGATTAATTCCAGTGCAGGATTGGGCTGACATGCTTCTCAGGATGTATGTGAGATGGGGAGAAAAGCAGCGGTATAAGACAAAAGTTGTTGAGAAGTCTATGGGAGAAGAAGCTGGGATCAAGTCAGCCACTATTGAAATTGAAGGACGGTATGCATATGGTTACTTGTCAGGGGAGAAAGGAACTCACAGAATTGTTCGACAGTCTCCTTTCAACTCTAAAGGCCTTCGTCAGGTTATAAATCTTTATGTTTTCATAATACTTCTCTGGGATTCCTTATATTCTCTACTTTCTAGATTCTCACATAGATATGGAAGACTTACTATGAGTTTGAGTGTGCTACTTCAAAATAAAAGCACCTAGGAATGGTAATCATAGAAATCTTGTTGCTTCACAAATGAGTTATGGAATATAAAATTATTTCCTTTATACTTAATTATTGCACCCTAGTTTGCTATCATTACATATCTTGCACTATTATTACTTGCTATCAATACTTCTTTCATATTCTCTTTTGCTATCTTAGATTTAGTTTTCTAATTATCCTGTATTGTTATTACTTGCTATCGGTGCTTCTTCAATCTTTTCTCTAGCCGAGGGTCTACCGGAAACAGTCTCTTTGCCCTTCCGGAGTAGGGGTAGGGGTAGGGTTGCGTACATTCTATTCTCCCCGGACCCCACTTGTGGGAATACACTGGGTTGTTGTTGTTGTTACTTAATTTTAGCACCAAGTGAGCTTACCTTGAGCTGTTTTTATTAAATTCAACGTGACCCAACAGTCCAAGCATATACTATCCTTTTGGTTTGCTCCATTTTAGAATAATTCTCCTTTTTCCTAAAGTGTAAGTATCAATTTGCCAAGTGGATACTTTCTGAGCATAACTTCTAAGAGTTAGTTGTGAAAAAAGAGAAAGGGTGATTCTCCATATCTGATATCTTCCTAGAAATCAGACTACTAGTCTTGAAACCATTTGATAGTTGGTATTACAGAGAAAAAGAAAACATAGTGATCTTTTTCTTTGATATTGAATTGTTAGTTCAGTCAAAAGTGAAATCCGAGAATAAACTCTAGATCATAATAGCATTCTATAAAAGATACCAACAGAATCGGAATAAGCATTTAAGCATGTTTAAGAAGTCCCATTCGGTAATTGTTTTCTGATGGAATAATACTTAAGGTGTTAATTTGACATATATACATATATATTAGTAGTAGTAGTGAAATAAAATTATCAAAGTAATGGTTGGAAGGTATTGAACTATTGGTAGGGAAATAATTACATCAAAGTTTAAAAGTTGAATGATTTGATAAATTTGAATTCTTGAAAGTTGTAGATGGTGCCAAACATTTTGGAACGTTCTAAAGAAAGTTTCATATGAATAGGAACGGTGGGAGTATATCAAGAGTAAATTATCTGCATAAGCTTGAGCAAAGTTGCTGCATCTGAGAATTAGGAAGCCATCTCTAATGGGAGAAAATGGTTATGCTTGCTTCTTTATGGTACTAGTTATCTCACTGTATAATAAGATGATGTTTTCTACATACAGTTGAGAGAAAAATTTCAGAGCATGATAAAAAAACAAAGAGAATTCTGATGAATCTGGAGTGGGAGAAAATGCTTTTGTTTGATCTTTATGGTTCGAAGCAAGAGCATGTACGGATTTTTCGAAAAAAGAAAAGAAAATTCTCTTACGCTTCTGGAGTGGGAGAAAATGGTTCCATTTGCTCTTTTATGGTCCAAAGAGCAAGAGCATGTATGGGGTAATTCCGTAATTGTATTAATAGAGCTAAAGTACAAAGTAGAAAGTATTGGTGGTTCGATCAACTCGTTTCATGATTGTTTTCCAGTTTTTGTATTTTTATTTTATGAGGACATCTTCCTGTACTGTGGTAGCCTAATGGTCATTCTGTGGTCACTTTGGAGCTTTTCCCCCTCCCCTCGCTTGTGTGTTGAGGTTCATTGCTAAAAGTAGTGATTTGTGTTGAAAAGTCGAAATCCCGTCTTTACCTTAAATGGTCACATAATGATGCACATTTTTTCCTGAAATTGACCTCCTCTTATCTATTTGAAAATATCTCTTATTTTTCTTGGGAAAAGGATCCAAAAAAGAAGTCATCCCTGATGGAGTGAAATGAGCTTTGATATTATTCAAAATAGGCTCATGTTGATTTTGTCATGCCCCAAATCCAGAGGGCCGCATGATCGGCACCTGGCGTCTCCATCCCCTGCCGAGCGAACAATTAGCATTTCCGTCCGAATGCACCGAGCAATATATGGTCCAGTTATCCCAGTATCCTCGTAATAAATTAGCATGAACAAAATATGCATTTATACTGAAATACCGCCCATTGGGTTTAAATAATACGGACGACCATCAATACTTCCATCAATACTTATACATAACATCCACAGTGTGTCATGAGCCTCTATGGACAACAAAAGAAAAAGATTGATGCTGGGGATGCTTCCTGGCTAGATAGACCACCATCAAACATGAAGTGTAGCTCACCAAAAGAAGTCTGGGATGGGCAATGATTCTAACTTTCTCCTAGTCACGAATGATCCTATCCTTGTAAGAGAAAAATAGACAAAAGTCTCCAATCATGGAGGAATGAGTTTCCTGGCATGCGCTTAGGGCGAAGACATCAAGGTCTCTTTTAATTTCCTCATACTTTTTTCCCATGAGCATGGTTTTGGGCTAGCTTACCAACCTCAAGAGGAAGATTCCTTTTTATTTTGAGAAATGGTTCCATTTGCGCTAAAGATGCAGCATACTTTCAAGGCTGAATTCTATGGTAGGACTAATGATATTTCTTTTGCTTAAGGCTAGGTGTATAAATAGGTTTCTGGATCTCGAGATTTGTTTAGTTTCTCTGATTCTCCGTCATGTACTTAGTAAGTCTCATACCTCCCTCCCCAAAAGGTAGGACAAGTTTTCGAGAAAACATGCATACAGTTTTACAAATCATAATCATATATGTTTCAAATATTTCATAAGTTTTGATATTCATGATTGAAATTGTTCTTTGAAATCAGAGTTGGTTCTTAGGCATAACAATTCATATTCTTCAGCAACTTCACCTAAGCTTTTCATTCTGGTTCGCCACCCAACCACCCGATCGACAAAGCTCAAACTCAAATCAATTTAGTTTCAGCACATCTTTCTCATGGTGGACAAGCTAGCCTCCCTCTTGCCTTGGCGTATCACAATCTTTCTTACCATGTCCTTTGCACAGCAGACGAGCCAAACTCCCCTTTGCCAGGTCCTTCATCTGGCGGTTTCACCATAATCTCTTTACGTCGAACGATCCATCCTCCTGCCCATCAGGGCTTATATCAGTCTATCTCACATCGCACCAGCACATAGGGCAGCAGTTTTTACAGTAATTCACTGATCATGATAGATTTTTTTTATAACGGTGGTTTCCAGGCTAGCTTGCGCGCACCTCGACTAATTCCATCGGTTACCTGCTACCTCCTACCAGCAGGCATAAAGAAGTCTAAAATCTACCCCGAATATGATATAATATTGGTGTCCACATATACGCCCGTCACCTCGTATATACGTCACACCCCCAAACACATACATGTAGCATATAATTTCATTTTTAGAAAACATTCCCTCAAGTCGTGGTTAAGCAAGTTCTTACCTTATCCGGGCTAGTCTTCTACCCCAAATTACGCTTTTTCCTTTGTTATTGACCTCCAATTGCCCAAAACCTAGCCAAGTAGCATCAAGGAAGTCAAACAATGCTAAAGGAANGCTAACTGTGTAATATCATCGACAGTTTGTATTCCATTTCAGAATATATCATAGAGTCCTAAAGTAGCTCGATCAATGCATAGTCACAAACCTGGTGAGACGCAATCTCGCTTGTCTGGACGAGCGTACGTCCACTTTTGAAACCATACCTTTAAAATGTCTGTAACATGTACTTCTGGGAAAAGCCTTAAAGAAAGATTAGGTCTCCACTTACCTCAATCTTGACGCGTTTCTGACTTTCAATCGACCCAACTTGTCTTCAACAGATAAATCTACACATTTACAGTAAACATGTCATTCACAGACCTCCATAAATGGTCTTGGGCGATATCTCAAGTCACCCACACCATTTCCATGTTATCTATAGGGTATTCGTGCCACTTATGGTCTTACAAGACTGATTAACATACCCATACATTGTTCATCATATTTCAACACGCAGCTACCACCATTAATTGTTTCTAATTTCAATAAAATCATAGATACGCTTTGCAAATGCTATACTCATACTCCAATACATTATCTATTCGAGATTCAGACAAGTGTTACCTTTTTGGTAGTCAATCTCGCTTTTGCTCCTTTTTAGAAGATATTCTTGAACCTTGAGATTCTAAGCAAACCCTAGTGTTTGCTTATTAGATCCTCATTTATGGGTCATAAATAGGCCGAATGCTCATAAATGTACGACGGGAACTCTCCGACAGATGCCTAGATTCTCGGCTTTTTGTCTTTGGGAACAAGAATCCCATTCTTTTCTATTTATGGTCCAGACTTCTAGGTCTTGGTCACTGTATCACTAGTTACATATTCACTTGTAGACCATTCCTTTAAATTTTCACTCTATAGCGCTATTGTCACATCAAGGAATCACATTTCCCGCTTGTCTCACGCGTCCGACTGCAACCTACATTAATTTGTTACCTAGTTTCCTGATCGTCCGAGCCTGATGCTCACCTAGAGTCGTCCGCTCATGATACACCCACATCACCCATGGTCAAGTGCCACTGAGACTCGAGCTTGCTCGAAATTTCGCGGGCATTACAGATTTTAACAAAATACTCCCTCCTCCGATTTTGTTTGACTGGATATGGATTTTATAATAAAAATTTGAATTGGTGAAAGTTATGAAGTTGCATTGAATATTTTTATTAGTGAATGGTTTCAAATATATTGGGGTGTGCCAAAATGGAAAGATGCTGTATAAATCTGAATGAGGGGGCTTTTTTAATAGATTGTTTGAATTATTCTTGTTTCTCTGTTTGTGAAAGTTCCCAATATATCATTATGTGAAAAATGAGCAATGTATCATTGTTTCATTGACCTCTTTATCTGATTTCACCGTGCATCTTAGTCTATCTTCGTACCAAATATTTCTTCTCATTGACATACATTGGACAATATGTAAATCTTTGAACTGGCCACTGTGCAGACAAGCTTCTCAGGCATTGAGATTATGCCTCTTCTTCCTGAAGACTCATTGGATGTTGAAATTCCTGAAGAAGACTTGGATATCAGCTTTACAAGAGCAGGTGGAAAAGGAGGTCAAAATGTTAACAAGGTTGAGACTGCAGTTCGCATCACTCATATTCCCACTGGCGTAGCTGTTCGCTGTACAGGTTCTTCTTTGAAACCCTGTTTCTCTATATATTATGTGCACATCTGTAGCGAAAAATTTGTTCCGACTTTCAGAGAGGGTACCTTTTTTGGGTCTGGTGGATAAATGTTTGATCTTTGTGGCGTACATTGACAGATGGACTCAGAGAGATCAGAGTAGTAAAGTAGTTATACACGACGCTACCTTTGATCTTAGCTCGTTGTCTTTTTGTTCACTTCCCATCTTTTTGCCTCTTTCCCTTGCAAGATTTAAAAACTATGGGCAAAGATCATTTTTCTTGTCTGAGTTTCTCGCTGTCAAGTAGTTTCTGAAGTACTATTAATTGCAAAACTCTATTATAATATTCTAGCTGCTACTGGAGTAGACATGGCATATTGGTGGAACTCGTAGCGTAGTTATATAGCGTGTACTGATTTTTATGTCACCATTACAGAGGAGAGGTCACAGCTAGCAAATAAGATCAAAGCGTTAAGCCGATTGAAGGCTAAACTGTTGGTGATTGCTGAGGAGCAAAGGGCATCTGAAATAAAGCAAATAAGAGGAGATGCAGTGAAGGCTGAATGGGGCCAGCAAATAAGAAACTATGTCTTTCATCCTTACAAGCTAGTGAAAGATGTAAGGACTGGTTATGAAACTTCTGACATCACTTCTGTCATGGATGGCGACTTAGATCCTTTTATTAAGTCCTACCTTAAGCACAAGTACAGTTTGGCAGCAAACACTAGTGTAGTCAATTGATTTTTATTGTACTCTTAATACAATATGTAAAAGAAAAGTTGGAAAGAAAATTCTGTAAATTTAACTAGCTAGGCTCTCCCGGGTAGGGGTAAGGCTGCGTACATCTTGCCTTTCCCAGACCCCACTTGTGGGAATACTGGGTTTGTTGTTGTTGTAACTAGCTAGGCTCCAAATGCTACATGATCTTTTTTTTTCTTTTTCCTATTTTGGTTTCAAAAGAAGATCCTTTATGGTATATTATAGCTTATATTGGTGTATGGTGTGTCTGTTGAAATAAATTAATACGGATGCCTTCAAAAAGGTGCAAATTCTTCCCCGTTCTGCTTTTGGTTTTTCCAGAGTAAAATCTATTCGTAGGGTTTAACATAATAAATGGGGTATGCATTTTCGCAAGAGCTTATGGTTATATTATTGTTTATTCTCAATTACTTTCAAAATTTGGTGTATCATAAGTTAATATTATTTACGTTTCTTCAGCGAACTATAATGAAAACGCATTTCCTCATAAAGGGAAGCTCCTCAAATAGGTGAGTCCTTTGGGTGGTCAAACACTCGAATGGATAGCCTATTAGCTTGGTCTTAGCATTTTCTCATAAATCCTTTAAAGGTTTTCAATGATTTGGTATGGGGAGATTGTTTACTTATTCCCTCTGGTCATTTTTATCCGTAGTTTAATGTTTTGATCTTCATTTTGGAGAAGAAAAATCATTATTTGCTTTGACTTTAATGAAAAAATTCAGTTAAATGGATCCACCCATTTAAAAATATTAAATAATAGTGGTAATCATAAAAAATATTTGACTAAATTATTCTTCTCTCTTTCTTAATTGAGTAATTAAAATTATATCTTAATTTTGAGTGACAAATATTTTGAACCAAAATCATTTAAGAAGAACCGGAGGAGTACCATTTATAGGAATTCTGCAAGTTACTTTCATGTGTAAATGCTATGACAAGACTAGGATTGTTATTAACTCCCACGATCAATTGCAAAGAGGAGCCACATCTCAAAATGATTACACATTGGACTTAATGAATATGGCTTTTGAACAATTAAGCATAAAATAATCTCATTCTTTCGAACATTTGCATATAGTCTGTTGACTGACCAAGAGAAGTAAAGCTTTTAGATGCATTTCTCTAAGTCCCAAATCAACTCCTTCAACGAGGAACATATGTGGTTTGGTGGGGGGGGNAACACAATATTAGAGTTCTAATAACGACTGATGAGCTAATGCACTGACAGTGTAAAAAAAGAATTCACACAATCAATTACTTAAAAAGAAATTACAGGTAACTCCATATAATAAGCATTGATTTGCAAAAGAATGATAAGTAACCTGCTATAACATGTCAAAGTACACTGATAGTGTAAAAATTCTTTTCGCTGTCAAATGTATGTAACTTAAAGGCGAAATGGCGTAAGGGCCACCTAAACTTGCACCTGTTTATCATCCGGTATATAAACTTACAACTTTTATTAACCTGTGCCTCTCTATCCCTTAGGGGTAGGGGTAAGGTCTGCGTACACACTACCCTCCCCAGACTCCACTAGTGGAATTTTACTGGGTTGTTGTTGTTGTTTTATTAACCTGTTATAATAGTGTAAATATTACTTAACACTATCAGTCTATAACTTAAATGCATAATCCATTGGTCTCGAGACAGTTCCAAATTGGAAATAACCAAAGTTCTGCGCAATAACCATATAGTACCTTGTCCATAAGCCAATAGCCAACCGTTGGCATATACTGCACCAAATACATAACAGCAAGCACAGGCTGCAACAGCACCCAAAATGTTAGTGCTACTAGTTGCTATTTGCATATATGCAAGAGAAATTAGTATTAAAGAAAAAAATAGTACAGAACGGATTAAGAGTGTAATGTGAAGTAGTGAGAGTAGGAGTCCCACTTCTGTGAATTGGATGGGACAACTAGATACTCGATCAATTTAGCAGATAGAGTGTTATTAGACATTTCATGTTATATATTGCTAAAAGACATTGGACACTGTAACAGGACAAACCTTCAACCAACTAAACAAAGAGGTGATGCTGGCAGTAAGTTTACTTGAAAGTAATCACAGGAATATGAAAACACGAAAGGACAAATAAACAATAAATGTGTAAACGATATTATTGCCACATACTCTTTACAAGAGAAATGTAACTACACATCATGACTAATTTTATAGCATCGGCATTTTGTCACATAATCTTTATGCTAAATTGCTAGTCCCACATATACACCCTTGTAGCAATTTAAAATTATGATGAATGTGCCAGAACCTCGATGATTAACGAAATTCTGAAAAGACAACTGCTAAAGCAAATGTCTTGATCAAACCTGATAAGATATCCAAGCTTCCTTGATACCATGGCTAGCAGCGATAATTGTCAGCTCTGCACACCTCTCTGATGATACACGCCGCTATAATTTTAAGATAAAGAGTTAACAGGACAATTTGTGAAAATTATCCACATGCTTCACATGCTATGAATGTATCAAAAGAAGCGAGGAAAAGGAAACTTGATACTGAAAGCATGTGCATAGTCAAGGGAAGAGATTTATCTGGTCCAAATCAGATGAATTGTTCTTTCCGTCAAAGAGTGCCATTGTAGCAAAATATTGTTGCAGAGATTTCATCTGAGAGTGATGAAAGCTTTAATGCATTATGTGCTACGTTCAAATAATACTCCTAGTTCCAGTAGCATGTGTTGGCAGAATTATGATTATCACATATACTAACATCAGCATAGGCTTCGGGTTCTTATCCTATGAAGGACTGCTTTAGTACCAAGAGAGAGATTTTACTGTGCTAACAAGACAGGAGAGAAGAAAAAAAAGATTGGAGAAGTAGACAATATTAAATCAGAGGGGGAGAGATTGAGAACATATGATTCTCAAAGTAAGTGAATTTGTCTATCATCCTCCAAGCTACGCTTTACAGCAAATAACCATTATGAACAGAGAGGAAGCCAACAATATAGCTTCTCTAAAATGGATTTGAACAACTAAACATAAATTAACCATTTTTTCGAAAGCTAAAGGAAAAGTACATCCTCATAAGAGTTCCTTAATAATTTTTGAATTTTGACTCCATCTTTAAAATGACAGGATCAGAAACCTAAAATGAAAGGTCCAATGGGCAAGGACAAATTCTACCATCATTTCATCACATTATGCTTCAAAACATTGTCACAAGCACTGAGAGAACAAATATCACAACTAAGCCCAACTTTTAGATAGGAGTTGCACTTCACATTTATGTCCCATTTATAAGGTAGGGAAACAAGCTCTCTATAGGGGTAAGGTCTGCGTACACACCCCTCCCCAGACCCCATTTATGGGAATACACTGGGTTCGTTGTTGTTGTTTTATGACAACAGATGTATGGGAAATTCCACTCAGTATATGGTTCATCTCCTTGGAAAATCTAAAGATAGATCCCTCATTCTGTCTAGAAGTTCCAGAAGATGGAATACTAGCATTGCTCAGCCTGAGTGGGATTACTGTAGACATTCGGCAACAAAAACATCTAATCTATATTAAGAGAAAGATAATCACCTCAGTTGAACCAGTTCTTGAATTGGGAGTTTCTACAGGCCCTGGGCAAACTACCGTGACCTTGATTCCTTTACGACAGAGCTGCAAAGGGAAAAGAAAAAAAATTAATGCTAAGATAAGTAAAAGCAATAAGATGATAATAACAAGGGTTCTGGAACATAGATGAAGGTATTGACGAAGCCTAGAATAATAATGATAATAATGTGGGTGTGGGAATCAAACACCATACTGGCCCAAATTCAGCTACCAGCTTAAAAGGACATTGTTTGTTATGCACATATGAAATTTTCATACTCAAATAATTTCATTGATTAAGAAAGGAAAAGAAAAGTGATGAGGAGAAGTACATAGCTTCAACGAGTCCATAAAGCATTAAGAAGAATGATGGTATCAATCAAAAATTTAAACCTTGCACCATCCAAGAAAGATAGGATACACATAAGCTTAAGAAATGTTTATATGTAGAGAAGGCATAGCTAGGAAGTAATCCTTCCTCATTTCTCTAAGAACAGAGTATTTGCTGGACTCAATGAAGATCAATAAGATGAGGACGCCAGAGATCTTTAACTAGTTTGAGTACACAAGGGAGGATAGATGCAAAAGGATGCAACCTTTTGTGCGCAATATGATGTAGCTTAAGTAATGCGACTGTAGACCCAGCATGTTTTTAAATCAGTCTTCTTTAAGTTAGGTCATGGAAAGTGATTGCTAGACCCCAAAAACAAATGTTAGGCCATGGGAGAAAGTATATTTCATGTTTATCTTTTTCCAAGCACATAACATTCCACATTCTTGGACGGGCCCCTATCACTTCACACCTATAATTAAAAGCATACAATTGTGGCATTAGAAATGTTTAGACATATTATCAAATTCAGCCATTATCCAAATAGATCTTGCAGCCTAGAAGAAAGCAACTAAAAATTTTGTATTAATGCATAGAAAGGCACTGTCAGATGATTTATGATGTATACCTCGGAACGCAAGGTGTGGAAATACCCATTTACTGCAAATTTGGAAGCTGAGTACACTGCCTGACCTGGTGCAGGAGTCTTTCCTGCTGCACTGCTCATCTGGGTATAAAATGAATCAAATGAATCTTTTCTACCCTCCCCTCATCCAGGGGTATATAAAGTACAGAGAACTAACTCTTGGGCACATAATTACAACGAAATTGAAATACAAAGGAGGACAAATTATCCATTATCCTGCCATGAGGGTATACAAAAAAGCAACCACCTGATTCACATAAGAAAATGATAAATCACAGTTTTTCCCTGAGAATTATGATGTCAGGCATATTAATTTTAGATCAAGGACGTAGTCGAGTTTCACTTGCATGTCCCCAAGAGAATTTTGCCTAGAAAAAAAGGATGTATAACTCTTGGTGAACTATTTATGAGATTGCAAAGTTTTATTTTGCCTATTTGATCAATTTTTAGATTTTTGGCCGGAACAAATTTCCTATCAGGTTATGGCATCAAGAAAACTGTAGTCACCAAAATGCACAGCACCTCTGATCATTCTACTTACCACAACAAGATGTCCTCTTCCCCGCTTCAGCATGTAAGGTACAAGCATCCGCGTCAGCGATATGGGGCCCACAACATTCACATCTAACGTTGCCTACTAACAGATCAGATACAATATGAGTATTTGAAGTAACACAATGAGGACATAAATGCATAACCAAATGTCATATATTATCAAGTTGCAGTAGGTAGATGGATATCCACAAGGACAGGAAATTCAGAACAGAAAACACTAATATAAGAATAGTTCAAACACAAAAACTGAACCAATGCCAGCCAGTTCAAAGAAACTAAAACAAGAGTCATAAGAGCCTCGGGACTCTTTTTCTGATAATTCACTCTGTACAGATAAAAACAACAAAAGATGCTCATACGTTAGATGACGAAAGTCTCTACCAGGAGATAAAAAAAAGCTCCCCTTTTGAAGAAAAAAGTTAATATATTAAGAACTGCACCAGGAAAGGCCTGCAATAAGAAAATAACACTTTTGCACCTAGCTAACTATACCCAAAACTGGCAACTCTTACAAGCTAGACATCTAGAAAACTATGAGGCCCACACGAGGTATATTTAGAGACCAAATGAACTTGAAGTGATATCTATAATTTCTTCGTTGTTGCTTGAATTCCGTTTGCACTCCATTCTCCTGCTTTTGTGGTAGTTGTGAACTCTGTGATCAAGCCTCCTCAGTTCTCTTTGCTCTTAGCCTCCAAGTTTCGCCTCTCCCTTCATTTCATTAACCAAGTCTTTGTAGCATGTTATATGAATTTGCACGAGTAAAAGACAACCCCCTCTTTTGAAATAAAAGAGACTCCTTAAAATTACTCGTACCCGCTATAGGGATGACATGGCAACAAAAGATATTTACATGTTTGAATGATGAGCCACCACAGGAAACAGTTCCTTCCTTACAGGAATATATATATAAGTTGTGCACTGAGACCGGGGTGTCAGCAAATTCAGAAGAAAAAAAATCAGTTTAGTATCTAGCTAATTACACCTCAAATTGACATCTCTTACAAGCTAGATTCTATAAATCCTACAAGAACGGCACGAGCAACGTATATTCAGAAATCAAAACAGTGAGTGACAATTACAATTTTCTTCCTGCTATTGCTTTGAAATCTTCGGCTTTCCATCTTCCTGCTATTACTGTACTAGTTCAATCTGTCCTCAAGCCTCCTAAGCTCTCTTTTTATTTTATTTTTTTATGACGGTGGTGTCCAGTCCTGGCCTTCAATCTCGCATTGCAGAATATCTCCAGAACTCCAAAGCTAAGCCCTCCAATAGAGTATCCTAAATTTTTGCAAACTAAGGATACACAGCCCATTCTTTTTATAGATAATTAACTTAGGAGATATATCTTCTTTCCTTAAGTCAATTGCTTATGAAAGTCACTGAAAGGCAAAATAGTCTTGCAAGAACATATTACTAGCTGAAACTATCTTTGGAAACCAACAGATAAACAATAATAGCTGAAGACTATTCTTCTTGTGGACATAGTATAGCAGTTGACAAACATTTTCTTGTGTTTTAACATCTTCTGTTAGAACAAATTAGTTGTGATTGTGGGTGCATATTTACTGAATTACGAGGCTGCTAGCTCTGATTGAAATGATTAAGAAAAAAACCCATGAACAGACTAGCATATTGGATTTATATAGGCTAGGCATGGATATGGACCTTATCTGCACAACAAGCTTTATAAAAGATGATACCTTGAGACTTTCTTCTGTCACATCCAATGCTGTAGATTTCTGGAATAAAGAAGAACGGTAACTTTTAACTACATCTTCGTAACATTAACAATGGTCTAAAATCAATTCAAACAAAAACTCAATGAAAACCCAGATGCAAGCTACAAAGAGAAAGTTGCAAATTTCAATTGATCCTTTATAGTCATTTCTCTCTCTCTTCTCCCACCCTTCCACGTGTACTCCAGTAGTAGTTATAGTTAGTATAAAAGATTTAGCACAAAGGAATTTAAAAGAGAACTCAAGGTTAAATTTACTAGCTTACATTGGAACCAGCCAGAATGAACAATAATTGAAGTTTTAATTCAACATCCTAAGAAAGTGTCAACCCTCAACCTTAAAAGAATTTCCACAAATTTGAAGTTTTCTTTTCTTTAGGAAACTTTTAAGTGTGAAAGTGGTGTTGCTTCTATATTTGCTTCCTCTGTGACCTCATAAAATTATATAACAAACTGGACTGATTATCTTTTTGCTTCATGCCCAGCTAAAAAGGAGGCACAAAAGTTAAACATAAAGACCGATAAGTACCCATATCAGAAGTTCCCAATTTCTCTAGATTGAAATGCTAAATAGAACTAGCAAAAGAATTGAATATCCTTGACGTTCACAGATTTACTAATAATATATTTATTAAATGTTGAAATGTTTCTGAGTAAGAGAACTCCATGAGATGAGCTAGTTCACAACGTGCCCTTCCGACCATAAGGAATAATGTCGAAATTAATGAACTGAATCCAAATGAAAGCACAAAAGAATATCTGGTTCGAAAAATGAGTCAGATTCAAGGGAATTAAATGGCCAATAGTGAAAGTTCAATTAATTGTGGCTTTTTTTTATCATAAGTATTGTCTACTTACTGGCCGCTCATAGGCTGCGTTGTGAATCATATAATCCACTCCAGCTGCATCGAAAAATGATTCAGCTTTCTCTACAGCGACTCTCAGACTTTCCTCCCCGGATGTCAAGTCCAGTGGTAAAATCATCACATTTCTTGGTGCATTTTTTCCTGATTTTAATAGACACAATAACGCCGAAATAAAAACCGGGATTTAAAGATCAGTAAGCACTCAAGTAAGAAATTGATGCTTATTCTGCATCATTGAGAACGCATTACCCGTGAGTTGTTGCTTGACACGCTGGAGCTCAGCTTCATTTCTAGCAGATATAATGAGTTTAGCCCCTAAACTTGCAAGTTGTTTGGCAAGAATCTCCCCTTTTCACCAATATACAAACGAATTAGTTTCTTGAGAGAGTGACACTAACTTGAGTGACAGCATTAACACGAGATGACAAACTTATGACAGCTTTCTTGGCCAATGAGCATAGTATAAAGATGAGAAGTTCTATGCATGTAGTAAGTTCAAATGTTATGTATGCAGTAAGCACCAGTTCCATACAAATAAATAAATAAGATAAAATACTTTAAATCACCATAAACTGAAAGAGGACATCCTAAAAACCAAATACCTATTCCGCGACTAGCTCCGGTAACCCAAATAACCTGCACTTCAATTCAAAATTAAGAAAATAAATAAATAATTAGAAAAACACATAAAAAGTATCGGCTCAAAATTTGAGAGTAAACTAGAGGCATCAACACAATAGTACTCCAAACCAAGCTATTTTTCCCCAAAAAACAGAAACTCAGACGTATGAGGTGAAAGGGCAAAAATGAGGTAACCTTATCTTCGATTTCTTCGCGTTTGACTTTCCCTTTGGAAAGTAATGTAAAGTCCGCTGATAAGATAATAAAATTTTGAAATTTCAATCCTTTGCTCCACAATCAGATCCAAATAGAAGTATGTATCCATATGAAATGAGTAGTTACCATCAGCAGTGAGGAACTTGATGAAGAAGGCTATGAAGATAGCAAGGAATATCAAAAACAAGATCATCATGTTTCTCTTCCTCTTCAGCTTATAGTGTCGTTAATGCTCGAGCAAAGCACGCCAATGTATAGCGAGTTTCCTGCTAAATGCCTGCCACACTGCGCATTCGGCTCCAAAAGGGCGATATATGCCTTGGCGTTTTTACAAAAAAATCAAATGTACTTTCTTTTTTCAGTTTCATATTGCAGGTAACTTTTTAGGGGTAGGGTGGTTCAAAGACAGTTTTATGTGGAGATTATATTAACAGGAATTAGTAACACAGAAATTATTTGGGAAAATATCACCTCTATCCATTTATAAGTAGCTTATTATAAAAATTGATCAATTCATAAAATATTACTAATATTAGCCGATTAGCTATTTGTAGCCAAAAAGGTCAATTTTTTGCTTTCTTTTGAGTTGGTGTTATTATAATAGATTGGGTACATATTAAGGAGCTTGAATCTCAGTTTTGCGATGATTTGGTGGAGTTTTGAGATGGTTTGAATTGAAAATTCGAAGTAGAAGATGAACATGATAAGTGTATCATATTGTGTATCACATATGTATCAAATATGTATCACATGTATACCTGCGTGTGAGATTATACATGTTCGCTACATGTGTCGCAGAAGAATTTTTTTAACTCGATTTTAACTAAAACAATTTGATACTAAATCAGTTCAAATCACCTCCAATCTTTCTTAAATTTTGTATATTGACTCATCTATATGTTTTTAGTGAATCTCAATTATACCCATTGAAAAAGGCCTCTTTTTACGTAGATTTTTGGAATCTTGTATATATTTTTTTGTATTTTATCACTTTATTTGCTATCTCATCCATGAAATTTCATTTTCGTCTTGCATCTAATGTTGCTAATCACACTTGAAAATATGGAAGGAGATATTTTTGTATGATTCTTGGAGAGAAAGAACCTTATTTCATTGGGTTTTATGATTCTTGGAGAGAAAGAACCTTATTTCTTTGGGTTTTCAATTTTTATATGTGCTTGGCTAGTTTAGGTAAGTTTATGATTAATGGCCAAAGGTTGGTAAGTTCAGACTTTTTTAGGACATTTCTGTAAGTTTCCCAAATTATTACTATCTCCGGTCCACTTTAAGTGATTTTTTGGCCTTTTTGTGGTCTATACTCCACATTATTTAATTTTTCAAATATCAAGAAAGAATTAACTTCTTTTTTCCAAAGTAACTCTTAGAGTAAAGAGCTCAGGAGTATTTGTTGTATTTCCAATGAACAAATTAAGATTAATATGATCAATTATATTATTAGTTAAGGCTAAAAGGCGAATCCCTTAATATATGTGAAAACAGCCAAAGAAATCACTTAAAGTGGATTGGAGGTAGTATGTCAAAATTAATAATGCAGCAATGGGGTTAATTTTGTTATTTTGCTGTTTTAATCTTTGTATTATTCTTATTCTATATTTTTCTCGTGTAAACTACGGCCTTGTCCGAGCCCCGTTCATTCCAATCTGGGTTTAGGGTAGCGGGGACGGTATAGAAGGGAGGGAGACCGAGAACGAGTCATGAGATGGGTCCCAGTATCCCGAATCGATGCCGATCCGGTATCCTACCAAATTATTTTAAAAATTAGTCATTAGCAAAGTGCTGATTTCAAAATTAGCTGTTGGCGTCAACGGCTGATTTCAAAATTGGTCGTTAGCAACAACTAAAAACGGCTAAAACAGTCCTCTACCCCCCCCCCCCCCCCCCCAAATTTTTATTTTAATTCTCAAGCTTATTAAATTACATTTTAGCCGTAATTCTAAATAATAAACACCTTCCATCATTCTTCATTTTTACTCACACTTCTCTAATTCTCTCTCTCTCTAAATTTGCTAACCATCTAAACTTCAAGTATTTGGGCAAATATTTGGAGCAAATTTCAAGCTTCAAGTTTCAGAATTTATTTAGAGCTAACGGTTATAATCGTCTGCTTTTATGTAGACGTTTGGTACACTCAGTCCATCTCTTAATTTCATTAATTTTTGTAATTAATTTATTATATTTCAGTTAATTTAAAGTTTTATTCTTAATATTTTTTTTAAATTATGGATCCTAAAAAGATATTAGGCATATCCAACTCATTTTCTGGAAAAAAAAAAGTAGGATTATACTCATGTTGATAAAACTTATTTTAGTCAACTCGTCGGCTTTTATGATATTAATTCGGAGGAGCTATAAGATAATGAAACTTTAGACTGATATTTTGACAATGATTTTGGTAATATTAATGAGAAAGAAGAAGATGAATTAGATGAAACACTATCTAGTCCAATTATAGAAGCTCCAACTTAAGACTAAATCTCAGTTTGAAGCTTGACCTTCCCATGTACCTCATACTAGGGGTAAGGTTAAGGCAACATGTCAGAGAAAATTACTTATGTTACTGCTTTTTACTCTCTATATCGATGCATATGTTGCTAATTATAACAAATGTGGATCACAATTTGCACATGGATCCAACGGAGGAGCAGATGGCGGGGGAAGAGGGGGGGTTAAGGAGACGGTTGGAGCAAAAAACACAAAGCTGCATAATTACAAGCTCGAATAGATGTCGGCCTAGTACTGGATCCTAGCGGCGTTATTGGCACCCCTATGAACTGTCGAGGGTTCTAATTGTGTCCAACAATAGTTAAAACCTGCCACTGATGATTTACAACATCCATATAACAATGACAGAAATATAGGAAAAATAGTTGTTATCTATGGCTTACCTTTTAGTTTTCCTTCTCACCAAGATTTTGTGCATTATATACAAGAAATGTATAATTATACTTTTCAAGGTTTCCCTGGAACATAGTTAGAAAAGATATTTTTAGATTTTATTATGACTATCTTCAGTATATATATTGTGTATTTTACTACTTAATCGTGAAATGTCTTATCACTTCTCATATATGTCATAGTCCTAATGATAATGATTATTTAATTGTTACATATCATTGGATTTGATTATAACTAAATTTCCAAAAGCATACTATTTGTTATAAATTTATTGATGAAAAAATAAATGAAGCAGCATTTGCATATATACCCAATTTTGGGGTCATAATTAAACTTATACTCACTTTGCACAAAATTTTGCAAGCCTGCCCACTTTAAAATTAATTTCAGATTTATCGCGTCTTAAGATTAAAAAAAAAATTAGTCGACAGTGCAATGCACTTAAGGCCATTTAAGTCTAAAGTACAAAAATTCCACTTAAGATGCACTTAAAGACAAATACAATCTGAAGTGCAATAAATATTTTCATGCACTTAAGGTCAAATAGGTCTGAAGTGAAAAAAATTGAACTTCGAATGCACTTAAGGCCAAATAAGTGTGAAGTACAACCAATATTTTTATCCACTTAAGGCCAAATAGGTCTGAAATGCAACCAATATTTTCACTCACTTAAGACCAAATAGGTCGGAAGTAAAAAAATTACATTTCGGATGTATGTAACGATCCGACCGGGTCGTTTTGCTTTCTAGATCTATGTTCTCCTAATTAAGACTCCTCGTATATATCTTAACTATTTTATGAGTTGTTGGGATGGTCAGTTTGGGTTTGGAAGAGTTCGGGTTAAAATAGGACCACTTGGTTCCTTAATAGTGGCCTAAGATGGCCAAGTTTGACGTGAGTCAACTTTTTTAGTAAATGACCTCGTAACTGGGATTTGATGGTTCTAATAGGTTCATATTATGATTTTAGACTTGATTGTATGTTCGGATTGAGTTTCGGATGATCCAGGAACGTTTCGACGCTTAATGTTGAAAGTTGGCGCATTGAAGGTTTTCAAGTTCTTTAAATTTGGTTTGAAGTAGACTTCAGTGTTATTGAGGTATGTTTGGGATTTCGAGCCTAAGAATAGGTCCGTAAGGTGATTTATGACTTGTACACAAAATTTGGCGTCATTCCGAGTTGTCTAAGTAAGATTCGACTCGTTCAGAGCTAGTTGAAAAGTTTGAAGTTCATAAATTGATTCAATTTTGTTTTGGGGTGTGATTCTTAGTATCAATATTATTTTGTGTATTCCGAGGGTTCGAGCAGGTCCGTATTATGTTTATGGACTTGTTGGTGCAGTTGGACGGGGTCCCGAATGGCGTAGGTGAGTTTCAGAACACTCGGAGTTAAGTTCAAATTTCTGATATCTGCTGTTTCGATTTTCTTCTTCGCGAACGCGGAGAAGGACTCGCGTTTCATGATGAAGGAATTGGGTGAGGGAGATTTTGTTCAACGCATTCGAGAAAAAGATCTCGCGATCGCGATACTCTGGGCCACTAGCCATCGCGTTCACGTGAGGAGGCTCGCGTTCGCAAAGAAGGCTTCGCATGGGGGCTAGACAGGTGAAATGCCTTTCGCGTTCGTGAAGGGATGGTCACGTTCACGTAGATTGGCAGGGCATGTGCTTCGCATTCGCGGAGGCTTTCTCGCGATCGCGTAAGAGGTTTTTAGGGGCTTGGGCAGTTTTGCCCTCGCGATTGCCAGGGCTTGTTCGCGATCACGAAGAAGATAGGCCTGGGTAGTGTTTTAATTTAAAACGGGACTTAGGTCATTTATTTCATTTCCACACATCTCTTGGCCGATTTTGGAGATTTTTAGAGAGTGATTTTCACCTAGCATCTTGATAAGTGTATTCTACACAATGTGAGTTTAATACATAGATTATGGATAGATTTTAACATAAAAATTATAAAAATTTAGTACTTTGTTGAAAAACCTAGGGTTTGATAAAAATGAGATTAGACCATGAATATGATTATGTGTAATGACCCGACCGGTCGTTTTGAGTTTTTGTACTTTGCTCGCCAGTTCTCGGGCATGGCTTGTCCCGTGTGATGTATTATGACTTATGTAAATCATTGGTTTTGATTTTCAGGGTAATCAGAATGAATTTTTTGAAAGAACAGTTCTCAGTTTGAAGCTTGAAATTTGAAAGGTTTGACCAAAATTTGACTTGTTTGTATATGATCTCGAATCGGAATTTTTATGATTTGGTTAGCTCCGTTAGGTGATTTGGGACTTAGAAGCGTGAGCGGAATGCATTTCGGAAGTCCGTGGAAGGTTTAGGTTTGAATTGGCGAAATTGAGATTTTGGCGTTTTTCGGTTGATAGGTGAGATTTTGATATAGGGGTCGGAATGAAATTTCGAAAGTTGCAGTAGCTTCGTTGA